ATTTACAGTTAGCATAATACTTAAATATAAAATGTTAAAGTCCATGAAAACACTTTTCACAAACATTAAATTTCTTACTATTTATTTACTTGTGATATACTACATTTTTCATAAGTAGTTGGAAAGTTAAACTTAATTTGGGTCAGCATTACCATCAATTATTTCATTTTTGGTGCTTTACTTTAAAAGGCTTTATTGTGTTATTTAAGATGAAGAATAAGTAATAAATAGTATGGGAAAGACCCTTCGATCCTTTGCCCAAACTAGAAAACATTTAGTCTATGTGTAAATGACCAAAATAATTAGATCAAGTCATTGACTTAGCTTCAAAGCAAATAATTTATTATAATACATTTTGATAAACTTGTTTGGTGTTGCCATTCCTTCAACAGTAAAATTTTTAGGTCATTTAATAGGATAGTTGTAGAGGTGTAATCAGATCCTATGGGAAAGACATTTTGAAAGTAGAACCACATGCTCTTAGGCCAGGTCTGGCCTCTGTGTGCGATAACTGTCATATGATTGTGGACTTGCTATTGGATGTAGCATTTAGGGCTAAACCAGCCATTCCGGGTTCTCTAGGGCTTTTGTTAATAGGATACGCCATCATTCCATTCCATTCATTCTTTCCCTAGAATTGTGAGGAGACAGGCTCCTCTTCACTCCTTGATGGTCAAGCTCTTTGGATTAAAGAAAACTCACAGAGTAAATCAGTGACTCATAGGAGTATGTTATTCTTTACATCAAACCTCGGTCTCTCAGATTTGATTGTTGCTATAAATCCCTGACTGAAGCACACCTCTTGTTTGCATGACAATAACAAGTGCATTTAACAAAAGCCAAGGACATCTCATTTTTTATTGCTCTAAGAGATGCGCAAGCAGCACTAATATATTCATTCATCTATAGAATGTGGATTTTCCCTGCTCAACATGAGGCTGCTGTAAGAAGTTAACTAAAATGTGCTACACTCAACAGAAATTTGGGTTGTGGCAGTTTGACTCCAGAGTGGAGAACAGGCCACTTCAGGTTTGCATGTGTGATGCGATGGGTGGGAAATTCATCTGGAAAAAACTGGCCCTTGAAGGCAGCTTCTTGCTGACTAAATTCAAGAGTTTTCTCTTGTGACTCTATCTGCCCAGAGACCTGAATTCCCTGGGACCCTCCAGCACTGGAAGGACATTCAGTAAAGCCTCTCAATGACCTGGGGGTGTCTGAGCCTGAGTGGTGACATGAACCCTTAAGGCTTTATTTTTGGTCTACTTAAAATTTCTTCCTTTTTCACTTCTTTTTCTTTTCCTATTTTTTTTAAAAAACTAACTTGGTCTGCATTGTACATGTCACTATATGTGTCCAAACCCATAGAATGTACAACACCAAAAGTAAACCTATTGTAAACTATGGACTTTGGGTGATTATGGCGTGTCAGTTGTAACCAATGGTTCATTCTGTGGGGAACGCTGATAGTGTGGGAGGCCGGGCGTGTATGTGGACAGGGGTATATGGGAAATCTCTTTAACTTCCACTCTATTTTGCTGCAACCCTAAAACTGCTCTAAAAAATGAAGTGTTAAAAAAAATCCATAAAAAAAGGAGAAAAAGAATATTATAATAGTTAAGTAAATTTAACAAAAACATGAGTTAAAAAAAAAAACCAACAAAAACCTACACTGATGCTGGGATCACGGGTATGTGGGGATGGGAGGCCCTGGGGTGGGGAGGGGAGACTCCGCTTGCTGATGGCTTGTGGGAACCCCAGGGCATGCTGGGAACACAAGTAGGTAGGGACAGGAGGCCCTGCTTGCCGAGGGCTTATGGGAACCCCAGGGCATCCTGGGAACATGGGTGGGTGGGGACGGGAGGCCCTGCTTGCTGAGGGCTTGTGGGAACCCCAGGGCATGCTGGGAACATGAGTGGGCTTGTGGGAACCACAGGGAATGCTGGGAACATGGGTGGGGGGGGACAGGAAGCCCTGCTTGCTGAGGGCTTGTGGGAACTCCAGGGCATGCTGGGATCATGGGTAGGTAGGTGAGGATGGGAGGCCCTGCTTCCTGAGGGCTTATGGGAACCCCAGTGCATTCTGGGAAAACATGGGTGGGTGGCGATGGGAGGCTCTGCTTGCTGAGGGATTGTGGGAACCCCAGGGCATGCTGGGAACATGGGTGGGTGAGGACGAGAGGCCCTGCTACCTGAGGGCTTGTGGGAACCCCAGCGCATGCTGGGAAAACATGGGTGAGTGGGGATGGGAGGCTCTGCTTGTTGAGGGCTTTTGGGAACCCCAGCACATGCTGGCAGTACAGGTGGGCTTGTGGGAACAAAAAAAACCAAAAACCTACATTGGTCTATTCTATACATTTTCTATACATTTAAAAAACAACCTTCTCTCCCCCTCCCCTCTCACACACACGCACACACACACACACACACACACACACACACACACTCTCTCCACAGCAGGGAAGAGAGCACTATTTTCCTCTTTCCTGGGTTTTTTTTTTTTTTGGATCACAAAAGAATGATTTGATAAGTAAGCTAATAAGGCCACAGGAGAACCAGGATGAGCTAACAGAATTTTTCATCTTTAGCACGAATGCCGAGTAACGCGTTTAGTGAGACTGCAGTGAGTCACCTGAAATATGTAGCAAGATTAAAGTTAAAGTGGGTCCTGTCATGTTGTGGTCTGAAAAAGGCAGAAGCCAACATCATTAGCACACAAGCCCACTTATTAAAGTGATGAAGAGATGGATATTGATTTACTCCTGCCTGAGTCGTCCACCAGCACAGCTGGGTGGGGCTGGGAAAGGAGGAGGGTCAGCAAAGGCCCCAAGCCCTGGGCTCAGCTACCATCCCAGAAGAGCTTCTTATCTGTCTCAGTGCTCAGGGTCCTCTATGTGTGCCCAAGTCAGCAAAGTTCAAAGTCTTGGCTGTTAACAGAGAGTGGTTCCAATGGCTTAGCCCGTACATATATTTTGTAAGTTCCCTGAGTTTTATGCCACCTTTGAGGGCCATGCTGTAGGGTTTGCAGTACGGAGAAAGACAGCAGCTTCATAAAGTACTCAACTTACAACCAGGGGACAATTAAAGTCGCAGAAAAGGCTGAAACATAGCTCACAAATCTATCTTGGTCAGTGGTTACTACTTCAGGGAAAACTTTAACAGTAAATTATTGACTTCTGGCGGGGGAGGAGGCACTGAATCACAGCCTGGTCTCCTCCATCTGCCTGATAAATTTCTATTTATTCTTTGCTACTCACCTCAAAGCACTACCACTGCTCTGAAATCTTCCCTGAGCTTCCTGGACACAGTGAAGAAATTCCTTCTCTTTGTGTAACTTGTACACACTTTTTAAAGACAGTAATTCTCATACTGCACTATGATCATTTCTTTTATGTCTGTTTCCCCATTAAGTTTGTGTGCTCCTTCTATGGGGGATTCTGTCTTCTGTATCTCTCTCTTTTTAAAATTACTTCTCTGGGTGCCTGGCAGAGCACCTGATCCACAGGAGCACTCAAGAGAAGTCTGTGAAGGACTGACTTGCTGCATGACTGACCATCAGCCCTGAGAAGAGCTGGAACAGCGGCCACCTTGGCGGTATCCAGTGAAAGTTCAAGAAAGGTTCCCTTGGCATTCACACACACACATGCACTCTCACACTTCTTTTATCTGCTTGACAATATTAAAATCTCTCATTTGGGCAAGACTTTTATTCTACAACTAGCAAGAGGGCAAATATCCATGGGAGAGGTCTGTCTCCCATCACCAGCAAAATTAGAGAATCTGTTTCCCTCCTTCTCAGACCCTTACTTTTCAATCTATCATTATTTGGCTTCGGCCCCTAATGATTTATTAAAATTGATCTAGCAAAGGTCACCTTTATGGACTTCTTGAATTTTGAACCGCGTGCACGTAGTATGTATTCAAGAAAAGTTGCATTTAAAAGTTCTGAAGAGAAAGTGCTTCGGGCAGTCAGGAGGTTCTGCTGTGACTTGCTAAGTAGCTGTCTGGGCCTCAGTTTCCTTATCTCTAAAAAATGAGGGAGCCCAAGATCAGCACTGAGATCTCACCCAGCTCTGAGAAAGGTGACATTATATTCAGTCTCTTCAGTTTAAGAAAATAGGAAAAAGAAAAAAGAACGACTTATACATGGCTCAGTGTGTACCCTAAAGAGTCGTCTCTTCCCCAGATGACACTTCTGAGGGTGGGCAGGGCCAACGGCCTTTTCTGCAATGAAAATAAGTGAAGTTGAAACCAACTCCAAAAGTTGAAATATTTTAAAAAGCGAGTAGACTGTGCACACCACCGTAAACTTGGTACATAAGCTCACATCTCCTCCCTCTCATCGCCCTGGGTTACTCAGCTGTTTCGGGTTGTAAACGCTCTACAGTGGCCAAGGGCTAAAGCAGGTGAACAACATCCTCATAGTTATCATGTGACACAGAGAAATGGACAGAGATCCAAGGATTTTCTAGCAACAGTCTACAGATGACTGTAAGGAGAAAGGCCAAACTGCCACTTTCTAATTTCTCCCAGCAAAATAAATAACAAACCATGAAACACCATTTTTACTCACTTTGAGCAGTGTACAGAGAAAAAATAAAGGTCAGAACTGAAATCTAAGCGAAAATTAAGCATTCTGGAATCGTAAAGGAATCATCAGCTTACCAACTTCAGTGCCTTTTCCCAGCGTGAAGGTAATTCCATATCCCTTGAGTCCATCTTCCGCATCCGTCTCTATGATGACATAGGCAGCCGAGTAGTCGGGGTCTGTGTGCTGCAGGAAAGATGCCCCCAACCCAAGCAATGCAAACATGAGAAACCCGAAAATAACCATGAGAGTGATCTCACATAAGGACAGACAGTGCCTCAGGGGCTATGCAAGAAGAGTTCCAGTGGACGGAACCATTGATGTACCCCAAAGAACACAGGAGCTCTGAATGGACAAAAGGATGCCCTTCTGAAGGATCCAAATTATTACAAGTACAATTAGGTCAAAAATTGAGGCTCAGTTTTAAATCCAGGAGTTTTCCCTCCCAGTTAGTTCTGTCAGTTCTTTCAACAGAGTTACATTTACAAGTAGCTTCACATCGAACAAGCCAAGATTTCAGGAAGCTCTTACATAAAATTGGACCGATTTCCCTTGCAGCACTTTATAGCAGAGCTGAAAATACAATGGTATAAGTTCAGAGGAGACCATTGGGGAAAAATGAAGAAGTAAAGCTTCGAGACCAATTAACCCATTTGTTTTTGTTTTGTTTTGTTCTATGGGATTTTAACACATTAACTGCCACATGAGTTGTATTTAACTCACGCTGGTTTGAGCCTGGGGCCTCATGAAGATATGTAACTTACACGTCTCTCTACCTTGGGAGCATATAGTCATGCACAGAAAACAATAAAAAAATAACAAATTTTTCATTAAATTAGAATGGGTCGTTTTGTTTTCAAAGTTTTTATTCTATTTTCGTAATAAAACACTGTGGCCCCAAGGAAAAAAAATTTTTTTCTAGTGTGGCAGTCAATGTGTTCGTTAACTTCCTACTATCAAACAGTATTTTGATAAGAAGTGTTTATTGATCAACTGTTACGAAACTCAATGCCACTTATTGATATGGGAGATGTAGAAGTTGTTTTTTTTTAAAAAAAAACAAGTCTGTCTCCAGAGATTTATCATATAGTGGGGAGAAAAAGCTAACTCACAGAACCAGATGAGAACAAGCTAAGAGTACAAGGTTGTGTGCTGAAGCGTGGGTGCTTATAAGTAGCACAGACGTTCAAGGTGGAGGAAGAATAAAGAGGAAGTAGAACTTGAGGGAATTCCTGAGGGGGCAAACACCATTTGGATGGGCAAAGAGGCAGATGAAAGCACCTAGAAGGAAGAGCAATATGAAAGCCAGAGGCCTTTGTGGGACAGAGAAACAAAAGGTCCACAAGGACACAAGATTGTATAGGTACATGGGGGCTGATGACAAATCCCAGAAAGCCAGGCAGAAGATCTGCTTTTTTTTTTCAGACAAGAGTCTCACTCTGTTGCCTGGGCTAGAGTGTCGTGGC